CATTTCATTGTGCAAAACTTAAATTTATGTGATATGTGACCATTTTTTCAGCAGAATACTTTATTATTTGTTAAATTATTTTTATTTAAATATTAAATAATGTTTTTAAATGTTGACAATATATTAGAAAAGTGTATAATTTTTTTATATAAAACGATATATATATGGCTATATCCAAGATAAGAAAGAATCCATCGCATATATACTCGGTTACTTTTTGAGAATTTTCCTCTTATGCAAGTAATCCTTTCCTTTCTCTATAATATTTTTCATTCCATAATAATTTACAAATAGAAAAAGCTCCAATTGTAGGGACAAAATGGAAACCTTCTCAAAAAACAAAATGGAAAAATTCTTTGAACGGGCCGAATAAATTAAAGGAAGAATAGAAAAATAATGAGTGAGAAAAGAAATTTGTGCGTGAAGAAATCTCATGCATATACAATGAGTTTTAGGGTTCATGCAAATATACAAGTCATGCTTATTTCCATGCTTCTCCACTATATATTATACATAGTAACCAAACAAAACACTCAAGAACAAAAAATTAACCAAAAGATACAAAAAAGAAAAAAAGATGGGTAGAAGAAATTTATGGGCATTGATATATGTAACAGTGATGATGATGCTAATTGAGGTGGAATCAAGTCTTCACAGAGTAGGCGGCGGAAAATACAGTTGGAACTCCGACGTTAACTTCTCCGATTGGTCCAACCACGAACGTTTCTACTCCGGCGACTGGCTTTGTAAGTAATTTAACAACATTTATTCTTTCTTAAATTTTTACACGAGCTAATTCAATTTCTCATCTAAACATTTGGCAGTTTTCGGGTTCGATCGGACCCGTCACAGCATCCTCCAAGTAAACAAGAGTAGCTACGAGCAATGCATCGATACCGATTTCATATTCAACGTGACCCGAGGAGGACGAGACGTGTTCCAACTACTTGAACCAAAGCCTTACTACTTCATTTGCGGTAGAGGTTATTGCCTCAAAGGAATGAAGGTCGCCGTTACCGTCCTTCCCCAACCCCTACCTTCAACTCCAATCACTCCTGTCTCAACCGCCTCCACCACTCTCATATCCTCAAGTGCTTTTACCATCGCCACTCTCTCCTTGGCCTTTAACGCTTTCTTACTTTGACTAGGCTTATATTATGTC